CAATTTTCAACTGGTGTGTCCCAAGAATTTTTAAAATGTGCAGTACCTGACTATTTAGTCAAGGGCACAGATTTCTTTTTTCTTAGATTGTCAAATAAAAAATGACAAGAGCCACCACCACAACAACTTTCCGGTGTGAATCAATCAAACTTATACTTATTTTTCTGTCAATTGGCAAAAAATAAATTTTCCGGTGTGCTGCAGAGTTTTAGTAATCAGTTTATGTGTGCCATGAAATGAAAAAGTTGGAAATCACTGATCTAGCTTACCTCTTTTTAATCAAATATATCAAATCTATTCCAGAACATCTGTAAAAAATGATAAAAAGCCAAATACCCTGGAAAGTTTAATGTAATGCTTGAATTCGGAGTTCTTTATAGATAGATACAAGATGGAAAGGAGATTCAAATAAATTAATATATTACAGAGAAGGTTTAATGAAAATATAAAAGACTGTATATGCAGAAACTCACACATAGAACAGTAATCAAACAAGCCCAACAATGGATTTAAAGAGACCATGAGACATACAAGAATGTGTAGCTAATAAATGTTCACTGCCTTAACTGGAAATTATCATTGATCCAAATAAACCACAAATGAGAAAGTGTGTGCTGTTATGACTAAAAACTAATTAATTTTAGGCTTTTAATGTAATTCTGTTGGGTAAGGGCTGGGAATAGATTCTTTGGATATATTTTATAATTGTCAGACCCTTGTTAAAATTTAAGCATTCTGCTTTGTGCTCCAAATGACGAAGAAGGGAGAGGAACAATAAAAATGATTAAAGAGATAGAAGGTAGGTCATTTGAAAAAGAATTTAAAAAACCAACAAAAAAAGGTTTGTCTAGCCTGGAAAAGAAAGAGTAAAAGAGGACTTTAAATTATTTCATGAATACAAAAGATTATTAAATGGACACAAAAAAAGGGGGTGCTGGTCAGTTCTTAATCACTAAAGTGAAACAAAATTAAGTTACTTTAAAGTAAAGAAAGAACATATTAGTATGTAGAGTGTTTTTGCAATCCAGTGTCATTGGAGACATTGAGATTGAGAGTCCTAATTCCTAGAGATCGTTATACAGTCTAGAGAGGATGCAAGAATGACCCACTGCAATGTCTCACCCCATGATCAACCCGGTGCATCAGAAGCTGATGCCTGTGGTGCAAAGAAGGGAAGACAGGACCACAGGATTTGGCCGCACAACTTTTCAAAAGTCTGCTGATTCCTTGTTGGAAAATTTCTTGAAATACACTCCAGTTTTTTTTTTTTAAACAAAACAACAAATGGCAGCCACTGCTGATTGCGAATGCTTTTGCTGCCTGGTATGTATCCATCCCCGTGGCACTCAGGGTCCAGTACATGCTGATGCCACCCGTGAACCTTCAGGGCTTTCTCTCTACCAGTGTGTAGCACAGTGACCTTACAGGTGCTAGCATGTCACCTGGGTATGAGTTTGCCATGCCTGCCCGCTGACCCTTGCCCGCACCACAATCCGAGGGCTCTCAGAGTGTCTGATTAACCATCATGAAATCTTACATAATACTGGTCTGCAACCAGGAGACCCATTTTATGGCAGAGGAACAATAATGGGCGTGTGGCTGTGGGATCCAGGGGTCCTACCAAATACTTCCTCATAGAGAAGTGCTATTTGATAGAACTCTTACAGGTCTCTTAAAGGCCCAGCTAAGGGGTCAGTTTGAGGATGATGTTCTTTTGGGGTGGGGTCCCTCAAAATGTGGTATATACTTTGAACCAAAGGTCAAATCATACCATGTCCCCAGTGCTAGAATACCATCCCAGCCCTAGTAGATGGTCTGTAACTGAGCTACGTTCATCAAGGCAATTGCATTTGTTAGTGATTGGTAGGGGAAGTGGGCTCAGTACAGCTTGGAAATATGTAGCTCCCTGATAAACACATACTGACATGTAGGAGACACTGCTTTTCCTGTCTGGCTTTGGATGTATTGTGTAAAGATAATGCTTGGAGCAGTTACAGCCGTCTTGTAACCATGAGGGGAGAGAACACGAACACTGAGAATGGCAGAGTAGAGACAGAAAAATCTGCCTCCTTAAAGATGGTGAGTCTTAGAAGTAACCCTGGAATTGCTTTCCCCTGGACATTTCAAGCATGACAACAGATGGTTTTGTTGTTTAAGCCACTTTTCATCGGAGATGAGTACTTTCAGGTGATATTCATTTCTTCCCATGGCTGCTTCTTTGTTGATGGCACCTGCCTTCCACTGGAGAAGCCAAAAATGCTGATACTTTCCTGGCCTCCCTTGCAGCTAGAATATAAACATGTGACCCAATGGGACTTGAGGAGCCGTTTGTTGTGAGCCTTCTGAGGAAGGGTTTCATTTTTAACAAGAAGTGGTCTTCAAGGAAACATGCCCCTACTCTTTAGCCAGTTACTGTTGTGTTTTCATGTGATACTGGAAGTGGTGGCTGCTTTCTGTGACTAGGATGATGTAAGGATGAAGCCAAGGATACCAAGACTGACAGACTGAAAGATGGTGAAAGCTCAGGTCCTCAGTGACCTGGCAGAGTCCCTGACCCACCTTGGCCTTGCCCGACCTCTTGAATTATTTTTGTGTGAGGTACACAAATGTCATAGTTTAAGTTGGTTTTTGTTCGATGTTCTCCTTGCAGCAAGAGCCACCTTAACGCAAACATGTAGTATCATATACCACTTCAGCTTCCCCCTTTCCTCCAATCCACCAGAAATGAAAAAACAAAGTGTCTGTTAAACTTTTAACATCGCTTTTCCTGGTTTTACATTACAAAAATGATGAAAAACGCTAGTATTATTTTGTGATACAGTCAGACTATTTCTTCTGCCCTTAATGAAACAGATCATTAGGTATTCATGAGAATTACAAAGGCATTTCCCCTCAGTACTTCTGTAATTTGGAGAAATAACAAAACAATAAAAGGAATCTGCTGGATATTTTCATTCAGTTGCTTTACAGTTTTGGAATTGAATTTTTCTAAAAAGGAAAATGTAGACAAATTCTGTAACTGTCAAAAGCTCTAAATAAAAATAAAAGTATACTGAAATCTTTTCTAAAAGAAAAGCAACTGCTCATGTATTTTTTTAAAAACAAAACATCTAAAGACTAGAAATATTACACTTCTGTTTCGCCTAAGCAAACAAGATGAGAATTTAAAATTTAAATTCTGAGTGATATTTTCTTTAAAAAACACGCCTCATATATGTACATATATGTATGTGTATATAAGAGGTACATATGTATACATGTACATGTACACATACAAATAAATATACAGATTCACACATATGTTTTATAATATGGAAAGATATAGTGAAGAAAAAAGAAAATAATGAAGAAAGATGTTAGGATGTCGCTGGAATTTGATAGTCTGCTAGTCAACTAAGGTTCAATATTAGTTTTCTTCCTTTGGAAATGTTATTTTTCAAGAGGTTGTTTTTTCCTGGTCTTGGAGCTACTACTTCCAAAATATACTTCCCGCTGCATGCAGAATGGCGGTAGTCTTTTTAGATAAGATATTCTGTATGCCATGTATTGTCAGGGTATCCTTTGATAGTGTTGTGGTCGATTGACAAGCGATTGAACATACAGTATTTTGTAGTGGAAGGACAGGTTGCCTGAGTCAGGGATACATTGTTTTACGTAGCTAAATTGGCCTGAGCCCAAGGTGAGAGAGCTTGCTTTGCTCTGTGTACCATCACTCCACCTAGTTCAAGTTCAGGCAGCTTCCCACATTTTGAAATTCTCCTGGGAAGTGAGCCCCTGCTTTTAGCCTGAGGCTAGATCATGACTGTCACCTTTCACCTACTTAACGAAATGTTTTGCTTCCCAGCGTCGAGATTTACTATTCAAGTCGCTATTTCTAGCCCCAACACTACTTAAAAAAAAAAAAAAATCAAAGCCCTCCAAATCTGTTTTATTTCCCGTGCTATCAAATCTGATTTAATGTTACAGTTTTGATCAGAGACTAACTAAATTATATGTTGGATTAAAAAAAAAAGGCCGAAACCTACTGCTACTAGGTTAATGAAGGTAGCCTTTCTTACAGTGCACTGCAGTTATGGTTTTACTCGTTCTTTTGGTTTCTGCTTTTTCTTTTTAAATTTAATTATTGTTCAAGTACAGTTTTCTGTTTTTTATTCCCATCCCAGCCCATCTCCCCAGTGCTCACCACCTCCCTCCCACGGTTTCCGCTTTTTCGTTTGAGGCAGTCTACCTGCCTTCCACGTCTTTATTCCTTTCTGTAGTGTCTAAAATGAAATATAAAGGCAAACTGTTAATCAGAAACACTTTTAGATTCCTAAGAACATCCAAAAACAATAATTTGGAGAGTAAACTTTATCCTTTGAAAACAAGCGCTAACCTTGCATAAATAGTGAGTGCATTTAGGGGAAATGGGTTATTTGCTTGGTTAGATGAAGCCAAAACAAAAGAAATAATAAAGCAACATGCTTTGAATTTTTTAGCCCCTTTCGCTTATGGCATTTCCAAAAAGTCATTTTATTTGACAAAAATGACAGAAATTTGTGCAAAAACAGGATACTGACTCTAGTTAAGTATAAAAATAATATGCATATTACTTCATGATCTAGACGAGTTTATATATACAGTAAAAGTGCATTTTCCGTTCTGCTTTTTTTTTGCGGGGGCCCGCGTGGAAGTCTGTTCCCGCAGGAGGAAGAGCCCTTTCCGCAGACTCTGCGGGACCCGCCTCCCTTCAGTCCGAGTCCCGGCCGCAGAGCTCGGCTCTTCTCCTCTCTCTGTCGCGATCCAGTCCCTCTCAGCCAACCCCGTTCTCGCCCTGCGGCGGCCGCGGCCGGCTCCTTTCGGTGGCGGCTCCGGCAAATGACCCGTAGTAACCCCGCTCCACCCCCGGCCGCCTGCGCCTCCGGAATTCGATAGGCCCAGCCCTGCACGCGCCACCGCCCGCGGGCCAATGGGCGGCGGCCGCTTTGCATATGCAACGAGCGCCGGCCCGGGAAGCGCGTCCCGGGCGGTTCGGCTTAACAGACGCTGGTGTGCCGGCGCGGGGGAGAGTCGCTGCAGTTGTCGCCACGGCCGGGGCTGGGACGAGGCGGCGACAGCAGACCGGACAACCGACGGTCGCCTACTCGCTGTGCGGCCACTGCGGCTGCGCCTGGGTCTCCAGGAGACGGCGCGGGACGTGAGTGCTCTGGTACGCTGCCAGGCCTGCGTGGGCCGGAGGCCGCAGGAACCGGAGCCCCGGCGCCGCGGTGTGTGCGGCGCCCACTGTGGAAACGGCAGGGGCCGGTTGGCTGTGCGGCCTCCGCGTGCAACTGGGGTGCGCCCCAGGCGGCCCCGGCGTGGGGGGATGAACGTGGACGCCCTGGGGCCCCCGTCTCCTCGGCGGAGCCAGGCTCCGGGGGCGTGCGCGCAGGCAGCCTCGGAGTCCCGAGCCGGCTAGCGGCGTGGGGACCAGCTGCGGGCAGAGTGGGAGGCACCGCGGTCGGGTCTGGGAAGTGGGTGACGTGGGGCCTCGGCCGAAGTGCCCACGTGAGCCGGGGAGGGGGGGGGAACCGCGGCCGGAGGGGCGCCGCTGTCCCGGGGTGGAAGGATGCACGGGGTCTCCCGGCGCTTTGGGGGCGGGGCGGAGTGGGGTGGGCGCTGGCAACTCGGATTGGTTGGGCTCTGACGCGGTCCTCGGGAGAAACTGAGTCCTACATTTAGGAAAACCCTGTTGGAGGGATGGGTGGGGATGTCTTGCTGCAGGGTATAAGAAATTGGGTGTGCGAGGTGGGTCGACCTTGGTATTTGTTTCTGCCACAGTCTGTGGTGGTGGGATGGGGATTAAGACTGACCGAGGTTTTGGGGTTGACAAGAGAGTTGGTTTATTTTTCTCTAAATGCGTTTTAATTACAAGCCAGTAATAGAATGTACTGCACGGAGGGCGTGCTTACTATCAGCAGTCCTGGGGGTAGGTATTATCAGGCCCGTTTCAGAGATGAGGAACCCGAGGCAGTGAGTCATTGAACTGGTTTGCCCAGTCCGGTTTGCTCTCAGCTACTGTATATATGGTCCCTTAAAAATTAGAAAGGTTGGAACAGTGTCTTTAAAATTATATGTAAGCAGGTGGTGATGGAAGAAGACTTGACTTGGGGGGTCGAACACAGAATACATTGTACACATTGATGCATTGTGGAATTGTGCACCAGAAACCTGTATAATTTTGTTAACCAATGTCCCCCCAATAAATTCAATAAAAAGAAAAATTTATATGGAAGCTAGAGAGGGCCGAGGCCTTGTGAAAGTGATTGCAACTGAGTAAAATGACAAATAGTTGACATTTATTGAGCCTTTATTACATGCCAGGCACTGTACTAAGAGCTTTATGCATGGTGTCTTTGTACTGTTAACAACTGTCTAGGGCAGTGGTTATTCCGGAACAGCCGGAGGAACTGCAGTCTGGACATGGACACATTAACTTGTCCCAGATCCCAGCAAGTGAGGAGAGAAGGTGGGATTCAGAACATCTGTCTAAAAATCCGGAGCGCCCAGAGTATTCTGCTGACTCTCCGTGGTGGCGGCTGAATAGTGCCACAGCAGATTTTTGTTTGGGGGGCCAGGAGAGCTGTGGTTTGGTGATACAGCGTTTGGTGTCATTACCACCTTTCTTTCCGTGGGAATAGCCCCCAGGGTTGAAGGGTGCTGCTGAGTTGTTCCTGCACTGTTTGGGTTATTACTGGAAAAGGTGTTGTGACTCTGTGGCAGAGACTTTATTCTTTTGTTTCTGCATCTTCCTGTGCAGGTCGCACCCTTAGGGATGAGTAAGGCTTCTGTAGTCATTCTGCCCTTTTTTCATCAGACTTTTCCTGGTTTCTCTCTTCTACAAAAAGGGTTGGTTCTGCAGGATGGCATTATTAATGGCTGTAGGGCAGACAGGTTGAGGTGACAAGTCACCTAGTGTCTTTTGGTTTCAGTTACTGGATTTATCAGACATTTGGACTGGATGATTTAAAGCTGAGCTGTTCTGTGAGTCTAAAAAGGTCCTCCTCTCAGGAGAAAAGGATGGGAAAAATGAAGGATGGACACGTTATGGGGAAGATCATGCCCTGTCAGATTTGGGAGAATCAGATCTTAAAGCTCTTTCTCATTGCGAATGTGCTTTCCTGCTGTCTGGTTCTGCTTAAATGGTTAGTTCACCTCTCATTCAATTAATTGCTCAGTTAGAACCTTTTGCCTCCTGTTGTACGTCAGGCACCATGTCAGATGCTGGGGGACAGCAGTGAACAGAATTGTGTGACCCTTGACCCCACTGAGGAAACCACAAAACCAACATGAAGCAGATCATCATATGAATGAATTGTAAGTTAGGTTATGCAGTGAAGGGAAAGTGAATGAAGACTATAATGAGGATTGTGATTTAGATGAAAATGTAGTCTAGGCAGTTTTTTGAACTGATACAGTGAGATTTTACTAGCATGACAGTTGTGCATTCTGAGGCTGTAATGAAATGTACCTAATGGGTCTGAGAACTCTTGAGCAACATTTCATTTCACAGTATCTGTTCCTAATCAGAATATCACTCATATTGCAAGATGTGAAAATGAGATAGGGAACTTTTTCAAGTAGTCATTCTGCTTACCTTCAGGGTACGTAAAGCTAAAGCTTAGATATTCCTGTAATGCTTAAGTTTTCCCCTCTGAAAAGGTACCTTTGGGAAGCAAGAATCTTTATGTGATTTGGACTTGAGGAGGGGATTTGGATGTTTTCAGCAAAGCAAGGCCCAAAAAGGTGACAGGATTTTCTGACTTTAAATAATAAGCATCATAATTATCAAAAGTATCCAGCATAGTTTACAATTACAGAGTAATTCTCAGTTCAAAGGAGATAAAAATGATGACAAGATTTGAAAAATATAAGCTGTTAAATATGTGAATATTTTAGTTGAATGTGTCTTAAACCAGTACAAACGATTCATTGTAACATATTTACTGAAGGTCATTTCCATACAAATTACTGTGTTAGGTGTGCCATATGGAATAAATAAAAAAATGAACTTGAGAAAGTCCTTACTTCAAGGCGTCTATTTAAAAAATACTAATACTCAGACTAAGTTTTTTTTTTTTTTTCCCATTTTTCAGAGTACTGTCATGTTGGCTCATTTGATTCTCTTAATTATACCATGAGCAAGAAGATGGAGATTTGGAGGTAAAGTCTCAGACGTGGGGATTAATAGTATAGGGAAGGTAGAAGGAGATGTTATTACTACGTTGCTATTCTGGAGCTATCAGTGTAGAGGTGATGGCTGAAACCTGGATGAGATTGTCTGCAGAGAGACTGGAAAAAGAACAGGAGGAGGCCTGGGGTGGAGCTAGGGAGAAGGGGCTGAGCTTGCGAAGGAGCCCAGAGGAGTGGCCAGGAAAGTGAGCGGGCAGCCAGCAGCTGGGGGAACCTATTAGTACTGCGGAATGCCCCTGTGAGAGGAAAATGGAGTCCAGCCCTTTGGATTTAGTGACTGGGAAGGTGTGAGTTGAGTGGGAGACGTCGAGTACAGATGAGAAAAGTGTTAGTCATTGATACCAAGTTCCTGAGAGTCTGGGAGGGGATGGGGTCCAAAGCACAGGCTGGGCGGAGGGACACTTCTTCTGCAGTAACAGGAGATAGGCCTGTCGTTGAACTGATAGAAATCAGTATGTTATCATGGAGCCCTAAGCAATTTCCAAAAAATTGCCAAGAATTGTTAAATTCTCATGAAAGCAGCCCACTCTTAGTTCACCGGTGACAGTCTTTTTGAACACCTTTGTACAGAATCACTTCTCTCTTCTTCCTTCATTCTTTCTCCTTTCTTTGTCCTTTGATACATGAAAATCTGCACATATTTAATGTGTACAATTTGATGAGTTTGGACATGCATACACCTGTGCAGCCATTACCACCATCAAGGTGTAATAGGGTCATCACCTCCAAGTGACCTTGTGCCTCTTGTTTGTTTTTTTTGGTTTTGTTTTGTCTTGTTTTTCTCTGACCCTCAGAAGTAGTGTTTTGGTAAGTGGTAAATTCTGAATCTGGTGCATTGAGTAAAGCCATTATATAAATAAAAGCGTACATCACTTAAAGGAGACTAAGAAATAGTAACCATTTAAGGACAAGTTAGAGAAGCTGTAGGAAGATGCATAACAAGATGTGGTTAATGTTGAGAGAGTAGTACGGAGGACAGAGTAGCCAGGGAAAGGTCAGCTAAGCAAAATGAGACATAGGTTGAATTTCAAGAAAAAGTTGAGTTTGAGGAAGGTAGTCAAATGGGGATGTCCAGGGCAGTTGGGGAAGAACAGGATTGATGGGTAAAATCGAGGCATCAGCTGTTTGGGAGGACCAGGGAAGCTGTGAGGATAAATCACATCCTAGGAGGGAAGCGAAACGCAAAGCTTGGATTGGAGGACACAGTTACATCCTGGCACAAACTCGTCTCAGAAAGTAATTGTTGAGTGGTTGAAAGGTCCTAGTCTGAGCAACCAGCAAGTGAAGACAACCGAATGGGCTCTGAGTTGTTAGAGAAAGGGCACGAGGGTCTGGCCCAAGCTCTTTCTAATCCGGCTGCTGTGACTGCCGGCGCGGCCCTGCCTTGTGGCGCTGCCCTGCCTTGTGGCGCTGGGCACAGCAGGCCTGGCAGTTGGCATTGTCTGGCTGTTTAGCTTGCCTGGAGCTCTGTTCCCTTGTCCGTAACACTTTCTTGCTCAACAAAGTTATGATCTGCTTCTCCATCGGTGTCTTTGTCTTCACCTCCCATTCTACCTCCTCATTTTACTTGCTCAGGCTTTTTGTTTTCTGTGCCACGTTTCTGTCTTAGGTTTCTTTGAAATTTTATTAGCTTTGGGCATTTCCCCCTGTGCGTTCACTGATGTGTTTGTTACTGGAATTCCCTGGGGTACTTGCGTGGGTTTTATTGGATACTCACTACCCTGCTGCATAGATAGTCTTAGCCTTTTTAATATTATTTTAGTTCTAAATTGGTTTTGCAGATATATAACCTTTTCTGCATTGCTTTTTCTGGGTTTTTGACTATTCAGTATCATTTTGGCTAAAATTATAAAAGGTGCCTATTTTAACTACAAAAGTTTGTTATTTTTAGTTATTTTACTTTTTTGGGGATTTCAGTATTCTCATTGTGGACCTTCACTTTGGTGTTTTTACTGTAAGACTAAAACAGTTGGAAACCTCCTCCCCTTGGAGACTGACTTGGTCTCTGGACTTGAGAGCCTCTCGTTTGGGGGCAGGGTGGGAGGGGGGAAGGGTGAGATAGTTACCTCTTTCTAAGATGAAGCAAGCACTTTATTTTAGTTCCATAGAAAACCAGAATGAATTAGTCTTAGAACTTTACTTGAAAATTTTAGTGTAAACAGAATTAACACTAATTGAAACTATACCAGGTGAAGCATAATACGTGGACTCATTTTTTACATACTCACAATTACTATTTTCCTAAGTCATTTTCCTTTTGTATTATAATTTTCCTTATTGCTTATATGTTAGAGTCTAAGAATTTGTATTCATCATTTACTCTGAAACTTGGTCTGACTTATAGGCTGATGCCCACTTATACAGCATAGCACCTTCCTTAGAAATTTAAAATGTTTAGCCTGTATATCATTTTTTTAGTTAATTAAAAAATTTGATTAGAGAGATTGATTTGTTCTTCCTCTTATTTATGCATTTATTGATTGATTTTTGTATGCACCCCGACTTGGGATCAAACCCATAACCTTGGCATATCATCAGGACGATGCTCTAACCAACTGAGCTACCTGACCAAGGCTCATGCATTATTTTCTGAGGCATAGGGAGAACACCTGTTCTCTCCAACAGCATCCGGAGGGGGTGGGTTGTGCTGGCGGGTAGTGAGGTCAGAGAGGCAGTATAAGGAGAGATTGGCACGGTCCAGAGGAGTGACAGGGGCTTGTGCTTTGTGACCACGGAGTTGTTTGAATCCCCAGATCACCTGGCTCTACCTCACTCTAGTTTTGTGACCACACAAATCACATAACCCCGGAGCTTTAGTTTCTAGGATAAGGATGATGTCTGCTTATAGGGCACCTGTGCTCTGGGGCGTGTGTTCAACCCATCTCTGGGTGCTGGAAGAAAATGGTAGAACTTTTATTTCTTATTTTTAAAAACTTTCTATATTTTGTGCACAATATGGTGGAACAGTCTCATGTATGCACAGTACTGAAGGCACACATGTTTGGGATGCTGGCAGTTTTTACCAACAGGGTTTTGTGGTCCTTAGAGTTTTGAGGTGGTGAGCTAGTGGATGAAAGCTAGGACCATGCTTGGAGGCTTATTGGTTTGGGGGCAGCTTTAGAGATGAACTGAGTTTGGGATGGGATTGAAGGGCTTGGGTTACTTGGCTCTGGGAAATCAATGGAGGGGTGTTGGATTTAGGTAGCGTGTCTCTGCAAGTTCATTAGAAAGATGGTGGGCCTAGTAAAACTGGCATGTGTAATGATTTGAATTCTTTTGTGAAAGTCTTAAACTGTGTATTCTTGCACTGTATCATGTGTTATCACACAGTAGAAGTTTGGATGGGGCGTAACCCAGAAACATGAGTCAGTATTAGGGAATTGCTCCTGATGTATGGCTACTTTATCCATGATGACTGAGAGCTGGCTGTATGATAAGTTAATAATGTTTATGTATATTGTATGATGCCAGAGGACAGGTGTGTTAACTGTAGGTGATTAGTTTTGTGCTTCTTGTTGATTCTAAGTAGCTTTATAAATTACTAATTGCGTTTGCTATTTTTCTTTTCAGGTAAGTCTAAAACATGGTGTGTTTCTTTTGGGGCTCCTTCTGGGGCGAGTAGCTGATGTGAGGAATCCCTCCAGTGCAAAGGTGGCTCTGTGAGGACAGGGACTTTGTGCTTTTGTCACGGGTGCCCACCCAGGGCCCAGCGCATAGGAGATAGAATCAATCATTGCATCTCTGCCACCTACCATCTGACATCAAAATGACCAGTATGCATTTATTAGTGGGAACTCAGGAATTCTTTCAGTGTGGACTTACTGTTGATACAATATGCATTTGAATAGCTAGCAGGTTGAGTAACATGTGGAGATAAATTTAAAAATTATGTGATCATGAATGCGAAAAGAATGATGGATTGTCCAGGCCAGACCAACTGCTTGTGCTTTCATGTCATACCCACTCGTCATCTTCTCTGAAAATGACGACACTCTTCTGAAGCCTCTGACACTCTTGACAATGTCCTCATCCACCCTCGTGTCTGTCTTTGGCTTCTAGGACACTGCTCTGGGCTTCTTCTCTTAGTTGGCTTTTGTAGTTTGTCCTTAATCCTTTTATGTTGCAAGTATACAGTTGACTCTTGGACAGCTTGGCATGAACCCTGCTGCATAGTTGAAAAGCCTTATATCACTGTTGACTTCCCCAAAACGTAACTACAAATAGCCTACCTCTGACAAGAAGTCTTACCAGTAACATCAACAGTTGATTAACACGTATTTTGTTATATGTATTATATATGGTATTCTTACAAGAAGGCAAGCTAGACAAAAGAAAATGTGAATAAGAAAGTCTTAAGAAAGAGAAAATAAGTTTACAGTACTGTATGTACTTATCGAAGAAAAGTCCATATGTAAGTGGACCTGCGCAGTTCACTTCCTTGTCGTTTTTGCGGGATCCTGTGGTTTTGACTCTCACGTGGATAGAGTCCGTGATGACTAAGATCCACAGCTGTGGCTCTGGAGCCCCAGTCCTGTACTTAGAGCATCCTAACCACCTCTTCTGGCCTTTCCCCACACTTCATAGCCAACCCTCTGCACGCGCTCGCTCATGTGTATCTGCTCTCTCTTCTGTCCCCTCACATCTGTCTAAGAAATGTTGCCACTAGTCTTCATAGATTAATATTTACACGTCCCCATCTCCTCCTGCTGGTTGTACCTCGGAAGAGTCTCTGCAGTTGGTCCTGCTGCTTCTCTAAGTACTGCCATAAACTCAGGACCTTCACCTGGACGTCTTTCTGGTTGGTTTTTTGTGTTGACCCAACCAGTCATTCTGAAAAAACAAATTTGGTCAGATACCTCGCTTAAAACCCTGTCTCATTCGATTTACCACATGTTTCTATATTCCATTTGTATTTCTGACTCCCCCATATTTCCTGCGTTCCAGCTGTCTCGGGGTACTCGCGGTTTCTC